TGTTTTGAGTGAGGTTCGCTCTGTTGCCCAGGCTTTAGAGTGGCAGGTGTGCAGTCTCGGCCTCAATGCAACCTCCGCCTCCCGGGGTTCGAGCCGATTTCTGCCTGGGCTCCGCTTCCTGAAGTAGGCTGGGAGTTACAGGTGCCACACACCCATGCCGCTAATTTTTGTATTTTTAGGGTAGGAGATGGGGCTTATCACACTTGTTGACCAAGCTGGTCTCGAACTCCTGACCTCTGTGATCTGCCTGCCTCAGTCTCCCAAAGGTTGGCTTGGGATTACAAGCATGAGCACCGGTGCCAGGGCCTAATTTTTGTATTGTTTATGGAGGTGGGTTTTCACCATGTGTTGGCCAGGGGCTGGTCTTGACTCCTGACCTCAAGTGATCTGGCCCACCTTAACCTCTTTAGCCTTTTTTTTTTTTTTTTTTTTGGTGAGACAGAGTCTAGCTCTGTCGTGTCGCCCAGGCTGGAGTGCAGTGGCACAATCTCGGCTCACTGCAAGCTCCGCCTCCCGGGTTCACACCATTCTCCTGCCTCAGCCTCCCGAGTAGTTGGGACTACAGGTGCCCGCCACCACGCCTGGGTAATTTTTTGTATTTTTAGTAGAGACGAGGTTTCACCATGTTAACCAGGATGGTCTCGATCTCCTGACTTTGCGATCCGCCCGTCTCGGCCTCCCAAAGTGCTGGGATTACAGGCGTGAGCCATATTTATCTTTTTTAAAAATGACAAACATGCCACCTATTCCCATGATGCTGAGTCCCATAAAGTGGAATGTAAAAATTCCCCCTAAAACATCCACCTGACTTAGCATCTTGTCCATAAAGCTGGGGAAAGGCACACACAGAAGGAGCCAAATTTTGGAATGCATCACGCCTCAGCGAAAAATATTGATGGGAACTTGTCTGGGTACAGATCTTACTCTGCACACTTGATTTCCCTGTGACCCTTGGGGTACAAAACTGGAGTCCTCTAGCTGTGCTAGAGGCTAGAATGAGAATTTCTTGGTGTAAGCCCGTTTAAAATAATAATTTATTTTACAATTTAAGCAGCTTTTTAACAGCATATTAAAAAATGTATGAAAGTAATTTGTGCTTAGTGGAGAAAACCTGGGTAATACAGAGAAGCATCGGGGGAAATATGCCTTTCATTCAGAAAGAACGTTGACATGTTACTGAGTTTCACCAATATGTTTCATTTCTGTTCTTCCTTGATCTAGCCCACAGAACCTGATTGCACAGTCTCAGTCTGGCACTGGTAAAACAGCTGCCTTTGTCCTAGCCATGCTCAGTCGAGTGGAGCCAGCAGACAGATATCCCCAGGTGAGGGCTTGCGGGGCTGGGTATCCTGGGTTGCTTGCCCTGGGGAGCGCAATGCCATCTGGTGGGGATTAACGAGAGGTCTGAAGCTTCTGATGCCTTAGGCTGTGGCTCAGGCAGAGCAAGTTCCTACATCAGGCCCTGACCTGGGAGGATGTGCTTGGAAGCAGCAGCCTTAGACCATGGCTTCCAAAGCCCTCTGCCAAGCCAGGGCTACCTGCTGCAGGCTTCAATCTATAGCTGAAAGGTGGGCCTGGATGGAACAACATGCTTCCCTGTGCTATTCAAGTGCTAATAACATCAGCATACTGGGTGCCTTCAGGTCTGTTACCAAATGGTTCTCCTAAACTCATCCTTTATGATTTTTCTGTCAGTGTCTGTGCCTGTCCCCAACATATGAGCTGGCGCTTCAAACAGGAAAAGTGATTGAGCAGATGGGCAAATTTTACCCAGAACTGAAGCTTGCCTACGCTGTTCGAGGCAATAAATGTGAGTACAGCAGGCGACACCTGAACAGTGAGCAGGGTAGGGGGTTGGGTGTTTGAATTTTGAAGATGCGATGACCATATTCAACTTTCTAATTCAGTCTGACTCTGGAGCCTAACTGTGTTGCTCTCTTTGAATCTATTTGAATATCTGCTAATTTGTTAACAGTCTTTTTCAGTCTTAAAATAAGATTTTTGGTTGATAAAAAAAATCATGCATGGCTCACAGAGTTCTTAATATCTAGAGTTCTTCGCTAAGAAGGTAGAGTTTTGAATTTAGCATCCAGAGTTCTGGTACCTGCTTACCAAAGAGGGATTAACAGGACTGAGGATGGAAAGTTGGGGTCAGCTCCCTTTCTTTAAAAGTAAGCAAAACCAGGTACAGTGGCTCACACCTGCAATCCCAGCCCTTTGGGAAGCCAGGGTGGGAGGATTGCTTCAGCACATGGTTCAAGACCAGCCTGGGCAACATACACACACACAAAAAAAAAATTAGCCAAGCGGCCGGGCGTGGTGGCTCACACCTGTAATCCCAGCACGTTGGGAGGCCGAGGTGGGCAGATCATGAGGTCAGGAGATCGAGACCATCCTGGTTAACACGGTGAAACCCCATCTCTACTAAAAAATACAAAAAATTAGCCGGTTGTGGTGGCGGGCATCTGTAGTCCCAGATACTCGGGAGGCTGAGGCGGGAGAATGGCATGAACCCGGGAGGCAGAGCTTGCAGTGAGCCGAGATCACGCCACTGCACTTCAGCCTGGACAACAGAGCAAGACTCCATCTCAAAAAAAAAAAAATTAGCCAGCGTGGAAGTGCCAGCTTGTAGTCCCAGCCTTTTGAGAGGCTGAGGCAGGAGGATCACTTGACCCTGTGTGGTCAATGCTACAGTGAGCCATGACTGTGTCACTGCACTCTAGTCTGGGCAACAGAGTGAGACCCTGTCTCAAAATAAACAAATAACAAACATAAAAAGAGTTGGATGGTGTTGGCTTATAGGAGGAAGAAGAAAGGAACTGATGCTTATTGAAGGATTGCTGTGTGGGATTTGATCCTGACCACAGTGCACTGAGATAGGTATCATTCTGCCCACTTCACAGCAGAAGAAACCAAGACTGAGGGGAACACTCATGTGTGTTTTGAAATCTGGAAATAACTTGTTCTCCTAGTCCTAGAAGGATGGGCAGGGCTTTGATTTCCAGAGCTGGCTTTGCCTTTGAAATACCCATGAAAATCACCTGGGTCTCCACAGTGGAAAGAGGCCAGAAGATCAGCGAGCAGATTGTCATTGGCACCCCTGGGACCGTGCTGGACTGGTGCTCCAAGCTCAAGTTCATTGATCCCAAGAAAATCAAGGTGTTTGTTCTGGATGAAGCTGACGTCATGATAGCCACTCAGGGCCACCAGGATCAGAGCATCCGCATCCAGAGGTAGGGATCTCGAGGGCAGAGGACTCCTCAGCCTCCCCATCTGCAGTGTCTTCTCCCTTCACTTCAGACGCCTCCTCTGGCCTCTGCCAGGGTCTTGTCTCTCGTACTCTCAGCAGCATTTGTTTGACAGGCCATTTCCATGTCAGCACTGACCACAGTCCCTCCCAGCTTGGGCTGAGAAAGGAGACTGCAACCCCTGTCCCCCACCCAGGCCTGCTGCTCCTCCTTCCCCTTCAGCCTTCCTGGGCATCTAGACCCTTCCAGCTGGGGAGGCTGTGCTTCCGCTGCTTCCCGGGGCCACCTGGGGCCACATGCCAAGGCCTTCCCTTGCAGGATGCTGCCCAGGAACTGCCAGATGCTGCTTTTCTCTGCCACCTTTGAAGACTCTGTCTGGAAGTTTGCCCAGAAAGTGGTCCCAGACCCAAACATTATCAAACTGAAGCGGGAGGAAGAGACCCTGGACACCATCAAGCAGTACTATGTCCTGTGCAGCAGCAGAGACGAGAAGTTCCAGGCCTTGTGTAACCTCTATGGGGCCATCACCATTGCTCAAGCCATGATCTTCTGCCATGTGAGTAGTAGCAGCAGTGGCAGGCCTGGCCCTTCCCTCGCAGCCAGCTCCCCACAGGGCTCAGGAGGACTGGATGCCCCTGGGCGCCGTGGGAAGAAAGGAAGTGGTTTGTGAAGATGTAAGAGACAGGCTCTCCTTTAGTGGGGGTAATGGTAGTATCCCAAGGGATACATAGCCTAAACATAGAGCCCCTGAACTTTATGTCTTATTTGTGGATGATGTATTATTGCGTAACCCAAGAGAATCAACTCATATTTGTAAGAAAAATTAAAAATTCAACAAGATGGCCAGACACGGTGGCTCATGCCTGTAATCGCAGCACTTTGGGAGGCCGAGGCGGGCGGATCACAAGGTCAGGAGACCGAGACCATCCTGGCTAACATGGTGAAATCCCATTTCTATTAAAAGTACAAAAAATTAGCTGGGCATGGTGGCGGGTGCCTGTAATCCCAGCCACTCGGGAGGCTGAGGCAAGAGAATGATGTGAACCTGGGAGGCGGAGCTTGCAGTGAGCTGAGATCACACCACTACACTCCAGCCTGGCGACAGAGTGAGACTCCATCTCAAAAAAAAAAAAAAAAAAAAGATCAGCAAGATGGTTAGTCATAACATTCACACACATAGTTTTCCAGTCTCAAACAGCAAATACTTAGAAAATAGGATAGTTCTCATTGATAATAGAAAAAATAAATATTTAAGATCTCTGAAGAAAATGTCAAAATGATTTTAGAATAAAAGAGACAGCTGAGCGCGGTGGCTCACGCCTGTAATCCCAGCACTTTGGGAGGCCAAGGCGGGCGGATCACCTGAGGTCAGGAGTTGGAGATCAGCTTGACCAACATGGAGAAACCCTGTCTCTACTAAAAATACAAAATTAACCAGGCGTGGTGGCGCATGCCTGTAATCCCAGCTACTCGGGAGGCTGAGGCAGCAGAATCACTTGAACCCGGGAGGCGGAGGTTGCAGTGAGCCGATATTGCGCCACTGCACTCCAGCCTGGGTGACAGAGCGAGACTCCATCTCAAAAAAAAAAAAAAAAGAGGCCAGGCTCAGTTGCTCATGCCTGTAATCCCAACACTTTTGGAGGCCAAGTCAGAAAGATCGCTTCAGCCCAGGAGTTTGAGACCAGCGTGGGCAACATCAGGAGACCCCATCTCTAAAACTCTTTAAAAAAAATTTAGCTGGATGTGGTGGCACACACCTGTGGTCTCAGCTACTCGGAAGACTGAGGTGGGAGGATCCCTTGAGCCCAGGAGTTAGAGGCTGCAGTCAGCTGTGATCATGTCACTGCACTTAGCATGGCTCACAAAGCAACACTCTGTCTCGAAACAAAGAAACATACAAGGTAATGATATAGTGATAACAGTAATATCTCAAATATAATCTACATTCTCCTTCCTCCACTTGTGCCAAAAGTATTCTTTTTTCTTTTTTTGAGACAGAGTCTAGCTCTGTCACCCAGGCTGGAGTGCAATGGCTTCATCTTGGCTCACTGCAACTTCTGTCTCCCGGGTTCAAGTGATTCTGCTGCCTCAGCCTCCAAAGTGGCTGGGATTACAGGCACCTGCCATCATGTCCAGCTAATTTTTATATTTTTGGTAGAGGGGTTTTCACCATGTTGCCCAGGCTGGTCTTGAACTGCTGACCACAGGTGATCCACCTGATGTGGCCTCCCAAAGTACTGGGATTACAGGCATGAGCCACTGTGCCTGGCGCAAAAAAATATTCTTTTTTTTTTTCTTTTGAGATGGTCTCTCTACCTTGCCCAGGCTGGACTCAAACTCCTGGGCTCAAGCGATTCTCCCACCTCAACCTCCCAAGTAGCTGGGACTCCAGGCATATGGCACTGTGCCCAGCTCATCTTTATTGCTTTTTGTTTTGTTAAATCCAAGAGCCAGTCAAGGTTTGCTTGTTGCATTTAATTGTCATGTCTCTTAAGACTCCTAAATCTAGAAGAATTTCTTCACCTGCGTTTTATTGCCTCCCATTACAATGATTCTCCTGCCTCAGCTCCTGCAAGTAGCTGGGACTTACGGGCCCACGCCACCATGCCTAGCTAAATTTTTTGTAGAAACAGGGTTTGGCCATGTTGCCCAGGCTGCTCTCAAACTCCTGAGTTCAACCGATCCACGTGCCTCTGCCTCCCAAAGTGCTAGGATTACAGGTGTGAGCCACCATGTCTAGCCAGGTACAAATATTTTTGTAAGATTACAACCCAGGTGACATTGTTACTCCCTGTTGCACTCTATCGGGTTTATAATTTTAAGAAATTTAGCCTTTAGCTGCTGGGTTTCAGGAGCAGTCTTCCAGATCAAAAATATCTTCAGCTGAGTGTGGTGCCTCACGCCTTTACTCCCAGCACTTTGGGAAGCCAAGACAGGATAATGGCTTGAGCCCAGGACTTTTGAGATCACCCTGAGTGACAGCAAGACCCTGTCTCGAAAAGAAAAAATATATACTCAAATACTTTTCATTTCTCAATTGTTTTTTTTCTTCCAGACTCGTAAAACAGCTAGTTGGCTGGCAGCAGAGCTCTCAAAAGAAGGCCACCAGGTGGCTCTGCTGAGTGGGGAGATGATGGTGGAGCAGAGGGCTGCGGTGATTGAGCGCTTCCGAGAGGGCAAAGAGAAGGTTCTGGTGACCACCAACGTGTGTGCCCGCGGTGAGCAGAGGACGTGTCCTACCTGGTCTGCCAGGCTCGGGGTCCCAGGCCCAGTTAGAGCCAGAAATCCTTGTATACAGGAAAGTTGTATGGTCTCAGGGAGATCGGTGTGACTGGTGACAATATTCCTTTCTAGGAGAAACTGTTTGCATTTCCCTCAGGTGATAAGAACTCACACATGCTGGGCACGGTGGCTCACACCTGCAATCCCAAGGCAGGAGAATTACTTGAACCCTGGAGATGGAGGTTGCAGTGAGCCGAGATTGTGCCATTGCCCTCTATCCTGGGTGACAGAGTGAGAATCCGTCTCCAAAAAAAAAAACGAAGAGGCCAGGCGCAGTGGCTCATGCCTATAATCCCAGCACTTTGGGAGGCCGAGGTGGGCAAATCACCTGAGGTCAGGAATTCGAGACCAGCCTGACCAATATGATGAAACTCCATCTCTACTAAAAATACAAAAATTAGCCAGACGTGGTGGCGGGCGCCTGTAATCCCAGCTACTCGGGAGGCTGAGACAGGAGAATTGCTTGAACCCGGGAGATGGAGGTTGCGGTGAGCAAGATCACGCCATTGCACTCCAGCCTGGGCAACAAGAGCGAAACTCCATCTCAAAAATTAAAAAAGAAAGAAAAAGAACTCTCACAGAAGCCAGGAGTCCTGACTTGGTGGAAGGAAATGTACAGGCATCTGAGTGGTAGAGAACAGAGCCTGCTCTTCCAGGGGCGCCCATCTCCAGAACATTGTGTCTCCCAGAGACACAATCTCCCTGATTGATTTCATGATTTTGTTGGCACCTGCCAAAGTTCTCTTCTTTTCCTCTGGGTTCTGCTGCCTGCCTATATGTGCCCTCTCTTGTACCCAATTCCCAGAGTTGGCCTGTCCCAAATTCTTTTCCTCTATCCAAAGTTGGTATGCATTGACCTACCTGTGGACAACAGTGATTTCTGTCTCCTGTCCTTAGTCCTCTCAGCCTCCATGTCTCCTTCCCGCAGGCATCGATGTTGAACAAGTGTCTGTCGTCATCAACTTTGATCTTCCCGTGGACAAGGACGGGAACCCTGACAACGAGACCAACGTGTGTGCCCGCGGTGAGCAGAGGACGTGTCCTACCTGGTCTGCCAGGCTCGGGGTCCCAGGCCCAGTTAGAGCCAGAAATCCTTGTATAACATCCTGAACAGAATCCAGGAGCATTTTAGTGAGTCCCGGGGAGGGTCCTGTGCCTGGCGCCCTTTACTAAGGGGGGCGGGGTGGGGAAAGGGGTAGGATCTTCTGTAGCCCCGAGAGAGGCTCTGTCCCTGGCACACTCCCCTCCTTTCTGACCATATGGCAGTTCTCAGGGCCACACCTGGACACTTCAGGACCCAAGGACTCCAAGGACAGCTCCCCCATGACCGGGCTTCGGGGCGTGGGGCTCTGACTGTTGCTGTCAGTGACTAGGGGCCCTGCTGCCCCCTGCTGAGGCACCCGGAGCCTTTGGGGATGAGTGAATGATTGCTGTGGCCCAGGGTGGGGCACATTCCTGGGCACGGTAGAGACCTGTGTATTTTCCCCCCAGATAAGAAGATAGAACGATTGGACACAGATGATTTGGATGAGATTGAGAAAATAGCCAACTGAGAAGCTCCACCAGCCACTGGTGCCAGCCCTGACACTGCCCCTGCACGGGAGACAAGTGCGTTCAGGGCACAGCCCCCAACATCACCCCAAGGACAACGGCATGAGTAGAGAGAAACTACCTACCTCACTTCAAATTATGTTTGGACTTGACAAAAATGTGTGCAAATGACAGGGGGCAGTAGAAGGAAAAATTTGCATTTTGGAAAATTGGGTCCTTTCCCCACTTTTTTAAAAGCCACATTTCCCCCATCTTTATAATAATCTGGTCACATTGGCAGTCACTGGCCCCAAGACCCCCTTCAGATTTTGGCTAGGCATCGTGGAACCAGCTCCAGCCCTTGAAGAAATGGTAGACTGCAGGTTGTGCGGAGGAGGCTGAGTGGAAAATGGTGTGAGCCTCACCGCCATGGATTGAACGAGGGAAGCGGCAGCAGAGGAGGCCAGAGCTGCCCCCTCCCTGTCTCTTCACTGGACCCTTCACATGTGTTTCTCTTGCCCTTGGGCCGTCTTGCTTCTCCTGAAATCCAGAGACTTTCTTGCTTATCCCTTCTCCCTTTCACTTCTGTTCTCTGCTGCAGAAAGTAGCCTTGCATATCCCTGATGAGCAGCTCAGCTACTTTGTAAACTTCAGATTTGGAGAGAAACATGGAAGTGAGTGAATCCTGACCTCTTGAGAGAGAGTGACCTGGCAAGGGCCGATGAAGGGGCTGGGCCTGGGCTTGACTTCTCTTCCTTCTCTCAGTTGCTCCCTCTGCTTAGGCCCCTGGTACTCAGTTGCGGCAGCCGGGAGACCCCAGGTGAGTTTGTGAGCACACACGTAGTTGGTTCTTACCCCCGGGTGTCACACTGGGCCGGGAGCTGAGCAAGAGTTTGGAACGGAAGTTATGACCAAGGGAATACTCTGATTATGCTGCTCATTTATAATAGTGGACATTATGAAGAGCTCTGATTCCTACATAATATGAATAAGGATGAATAGGCCGGGCATGGTGGCTCATGCCTGTAATCCCAGCACTTTGGGAGGCTGAGGCGGGTGGATCGGTTGAGCTCAGGAGTTCGGGACCAGCCTGGCCAACATGATGAAACCCCGTCTCTACCAAAGATAGAAAAAATGTAGCTGGGCGTGGTGGCGCACGCCTGTAGTCCCAGCTACTCGGGAGGCTGAGGTAGGAGGATCGCTGAAGCCTGGGTAGAGGCTGCTGTGAGCTGAGATGGCGCCACTGCACTCCAGCCTGGGTAACAGAGTGAGACCCTGACTCAATAAATAAATAAGGATGGATAAATTATAGCTGTATGCATCATTCATTATGCTAAGACATTTTAAAGTAATTATGAGAAATGCTCTACTAATCATGATTTGTTTTTATTTGTATTTTTCCGCTTATTAGACAAATATATACTCATTTTAAAAAGGCGTGTGTGTATATAAAGTGAGAGTGCTCTCTATCCCTACTCCTCTGGGATCCTGATTCCTGGCAGCTTGGTGACTATTCTACCATATTGCCTTTTATTTGCATAAACCCATTTTTCTTTTACAAAAATGGGAACATTCTATTCACACTACTGTGCAACCTGCTTTCACTGATTAGCATGTGTTAGACATGTTGAAGGTCCAATACATACACATCTTCCTTGCCCTGGAAACACCATCCACCGTCCTTTCAGCATGTAGCTGTCCCAGCATTTATCTCCTGGTTCCTCTAGTGACAGGCATGGGGGATTTCCAGTACATGGCTCTTACCCACATTACTACAATGAACTTTTTTTTTTTTTTTGAGACAGAGTGTCACTCTGGCCTGGAGTGCAGTGGTGTGATCTTGGCCCACTGCAACCTCTGCTCCCAGCTTCAAGCAATTCTCTTGCCTCAGCCTCCCAAGTAGCTGGGATTACAGGCACATGCCACCATGCCCGGCTAATTTTTATATTTTCAGTAGAGACGGGGTTTCGCCATGTTGGCCAGGCTGGACTCGAACTGACCTCAAATGATCTGCCTGCCTCTCTTGGCCTCCCAGAGTGCTAGGATTGTAGGTGTGTGCCATCACGCCCAGCTGAACATCTTTTTTTTTTTTTTGAGATGGAGTCTCACTCTCTCGCCCTGGCTGGAATGCCGTGGTGTGATCTTGGCTCACTGCAACCTCCACCTCCCAGGTTCAAGCCATTCTCCTGCCTTAGCCTCCTGAGTAGCTGGGATTGCAGGTGCCCACCACCACGCCCGGGTAATTTTTGTATTTTTAGTAGAGACGGGGTTTCACCATGTTGGTCAGACTGGTCTCAAACTCCTGACCTCGTGATCCGCCCACCTCAGTCTCCAAAAGTGCTGGGATTACAGGTGTGAGCTACTGCGCCTGGCCTGAACATCTTTTTAAAAAAGATTTATTTTTGTAGAGATGGAGCCTCACTACGTTGCCCAGTCCGGTCTCAAACTACTGGGCTCAAGCGATCCTCCTACCTCAACCTCCCAAGTAGTTGGGATTGTAGGCATGAGCCCTTAACCCAGCCTGAACTTCTTTGTTCTTTTTTTTTTTTTTTTTTTTTGAGACCAGCTCTCACTTTTGTCACCCAGGCTGGAATACAGTGACATGATCTCTCCTGCCTCACCCCTCCAAGTAGATGGGACTTTAGGCCTGCACCACCACACCCAGCTAATTTTTATAGAGATGGGGTCTCACCATGCTGTCCAGGCTGGTTTTGAACTCCTGAGCTTAAGCAGTCTGCCCACCTGGACCTCCCAAAGTGCTGGGACTACAGGCATGAGCCACCGTGCCCAACCTCTTATTTTTGAGCGTTTGGTGAAAATCACTTCAGACTATTATTCCTGGAAGTAGAATTGTTGGGTCAAAGAGTAGGGACATTTAAAATTTTAATTCATTGCCATTTACACTTGCCAAAAGGTTTTTAGCAATTTATGTTACTGTGATACAAAAATACATATTATCTTATATGGTTGCCAACACTATAATCAATGTTTAAAACTTTGCCAACAGATTATGTCATTGTTTTTTCGATTTTGACTTAGTGAGGCTTGGCAAATATTCAGTTTCTTGGAAAATCTTTTCTGTTGGGGAGCTGCCCATTCTTGTCTCACTACTTTATTATTACTATTACCATTATTATGAGACGGAGTTTCGCTGTCGTTGCCTGGGCTGGAGTGCAGTGGTGCGATTTTGGCTCACTACAACCTGTCTCTCGGGCTCAAGCGATTCTCCTGCCTCAGTCTCCCAAGTAACTGGGATTACAGGCATTTGCCACCACGCTGGGCTAATTTTGTATTTTTAGTAGAGATGGGGTTTCACCATTTTGACCAGGCTGGTCTCAGACTCCTGACCTCATGCCCCACCCACCTCAGCTTCCCAAAGTGCTGGGGTTACAGGCGTGAGCCACCGTGTCCAGCCTAAGTGTACTCAAGCCTTAGTTAAGGTTTATTTCTATTTATAGCAAAGATAGCTGAGATGTCAAACTCTTCCCTTTCATGGTCTCCAGTGCGGTGCCTGTGGTAACAGCGTTTCACAGGAAGCACCGCGGAGACGCAGCCCAGGGGACTGCCATGGCCCCACGAGGGGGCAGCGTCTCTTCCCTCCCTGGTCCCCTTTACCCATTCCATGACAAATGGTGGGCACAAAAAAGATATTGCAGGAAGGCCCTCGGTGATTCACTTCATATGTTTACGTATTGGTTGAATTATTTTTGTAATTTTAAAAAAGGAAAGGCAAAGTCGTTTTATAGGGAGGCCGGATGGAACTGGGCGCCCTGAGTGCAGATGCCATATGTTTCTTCTGCTTCACAGGCTTCCCCTGGAGAGAAGCAGGCTGCCAGAGAGCCTGTGCTGTTCTCAGCAGCACAAACAGTCGCTAGAGGAAAGATGTTAATTCCACACTCTGAGGACCAGGCTGGCCCACATACATACTGCTCCGCAGCCTCACAGAGGCGGGAGAGGGGGACCTCCTCTTGGATTTTGTGGGTTGGTTGTTACCCAGGCATAGACTTGCTGCAGGAGCTGTGATTTTTTTTCACAAGAGTAGTGAGAAGGCGCATTGATTCTTAATTCACACTCAAAAGGGAATACTTTTATTTTTAAAAATGTAGTTTCAGTATTTTACCTTCCCTTTGCCTAGCAAGGAATGATGCATCTGACCTTGCCAGTCACAGAAGGTACTTCCTTGTCTGCTGCCTGTGGATAGGTAAAATACCTTTTTTTTTTTTTTTTTGAGATGGAGTCTTACTCTGTTGCTCAGGCTGGAGTGCAGTGGCTTGATCTCAGCTCACCACAACCTATACCTCCCAGGTTCAAGCAATTCTCTGCCTCAGTCTCCCAAGTAGCTGGGATTACAGCTGCCCGCCACCACGCCCGGCTAATTTTTTTGTGTTTTTAGTAGAGATGGGGTTTCACCATCTTGGCCAGGCTGGTCTTGAACTCCTGACCTTGTGATCCATCCACCTCAGCCTCCCAAAATGCTGGGATTACAGACATAAGCCACCGTGCCTGGCCATAAATTATTTTTAAAAAATTTTTTTAGCCGGGCTCCAGCTGCTCTGGAGGCTGAGGTGGGAGGATCACTTGAATCCAGGAGTTTTTGAGGCTGCAGTGAGCTCTGCACCAGTCTGGGTGACAGGAGACCCTGTCTCTTAAAAAAAAAAAAAAGGCCCGGGCGCAGTGGCTCACGCCTGTAATCTCAGCACTTTGGGAGGCTGACACGGGCAGATGACGAGGTCAGAAGATCAAGACCATCCTGGTGAACATGGTCTCTACTAAAAATACAAAAAAATTAGCCGGGTGTCGTGGCAGGCGCCTGTAGTCCCAGCTACTCGGGAGGCTGAGGCAGGAGAATGGCGTGAACCTGGGAAGCAGAGCTTACAATCAGCCGAGATTCCCACCACTGCACTCCAGCCTGGGCGACAGTGAGAATCAGTCTCAAAAAAAAAAAAAAAAAAAAAGTGGCCAGTCACAGTGGCTCACGCCTGTAATCCCAGCACTTTGGGAGGCCGAGGCAGGCAGATCACCAGAGGTCTGGAGTTCAAGACCAGCCTGACCAACATGGAGAAAATCTGTCTCTACTAAAAATATACAGTTAGCTGGGTATGGTGGTGCTTGCCTGTAATCCCAGCTACTCGGGAGGCTGAAGCAGGAGAATCACTTGAACCCGGGAGGTGGAGGTTGGGATGAGCCGAGATCGGGCCATTGCACTCCAGCTTGGGCGACTAGAGTGAAACCCCATCTCAAATTAAAAAAAAAAAAGAAACAGAAAAATTACAAACATGCATGCATTCATGAGAGGGCACCGGCATCTCTGAAAAGCTCAGTGGTGGCTGTCCTCAGAGAGAGGTGACAGTGGGGTATGCTGCTCTAGAACCACTTCCTTGGTATCCTTGCTGGGTCAAAACAACACAGTGCTTGGCCAACAGGAAATTTTAAAAAGATGAGATTATGTGGGACTCTGTATTCTGGAGGTCTGGCACTTGGTGTGCTCGCCAACCAATTGCAGCATAAGGCAGTCAGTTTTGAGGGATATGCAGGACAAGAAACAGATCTTGGCAGGTTCATAGACAGGCTGTGGTACACACTGTCTTCCACTGGGCCTTAAGACTCAGCTGGGGCCAGGCACAGTGGCTCACACCTGTAATCCCAGCACTTTAGGAGGCTGAGGCGAGTGGATCACCTGAGGTCAGGAGTCTGACCAGCTTGGCCAGCATGGCGAAACCCTGTCTCTGCTACACTTGATCTTAGCCAAAAGCCGAGAAGCGATCCCTGTCTCTACTAAAAGTACAAAAATTAGCCAGGCGTGGTAGCAGGCGCCTGTAATCCCAGCTACTCAGGAGCCTGAGGAGAATCACTTGAACCTGGGAGATGGAAGTTGCAGTGAGCCGAGATAGCACCACTGCACTCCAGCCTGGGCAACAGAGCAAGACTCTTGTCTCAATAAATAAATCAATCAAATAAATAAAAATGGGGGTTGCCTGTGGCATGGTGGAAATTGGGCTGTGGAGGCAGGGCTGTGCCAGAGGGGCAAACCGGACTTAGATGCACTTCCCTGAGAGGTGGGGACAGCCCAGCCTGTGGCCACCCAAATGCATCGGAGCCTGATGGAGACCTGGAGACATCATGTTGATAGAGGCCAAAGTGGTTACAGGACAGCCACTGCAAGGAGATGCTACCAGGAGTTCTTTCCAATGAGTTCCTCTCTTGGAGGGAACTCAAGAGGTGACAATGAGCTGATTTTTAACCAAAATGCTTGTACCTGCTCAGACTTCAGTGTCTTGGAGAGCAGAGTCCAGGAATGAGGTGCCTGTTGTATGAGGGGGCGGGGAGGGTGTCTGGAAGTCATCTCGCTCCTCCCATATCCCCCAGCGTTCTCAGCTATTATCAGTCACAGCTACCCTATGAGAGCTGCCTTCTTCCCACCATCATGCCCATTTCAGAACAATGAAGGACTAGACAGTTTTTTGCTCCTTTTAATTCAGAACGAGAAAGGGAAGGAAATAAACAAGTTTGTTTAAATTACTATTGCAGAAAAGATCTGGCTGGATGCTGGGACCTACCTCTTCCAGGATGGGGATTCATGATTTAATTTTTTTTTGAGACAGGGTCTTGCTCTGTCGCCCAGGCTGGAGTGCAGTGGCACAATCTCGGCTCACTGCAACCTTTGCCTCCCGGGTTCAAGGGATTCTCCTGCCTCAGCCTTCCAAGTAGCTGGGATTACAGGAGCGCACCACTGCGCCTGGCTAATTTGTGTGTGTGTGTGTGTGTATATATGTGTATATATATGTATTTTTTTTTTTTTTTGGTAGAGACGGGGTTTCACCATGTTGGCCAGGCTGATCTGGAACTCCTGACCTTAGTATTAAGTACTCCGCCTGCCTTGGCCTCCCAAAGTGCTGGGATGACAGGTGTGAGCCACCATGCCTGGCGGGATTCATGATTTAAAGCAAAAGCAAAAGAAAAAAGAAATAAATTATTCTGCTCAATACTGTTTGGCATAATTGCATTTTCATCTTTTCAACACTCAAAACAGCCTCTTCGGGAAGCATTGAGATGGGAGTGACAAAACTGGCTGGGGCCTAGCTCTCTAAAACGGTGGGGGAGGGGGGGCGCCCTGAGAGAGGCATTCTAGCCTCACCCCAATCACCCCTATTTTTACTCTTCCTACTTTCGGAATTGGAAAGACCGACACTCGAGCTAGGTTCGAATATATTAACTTTCAGGGCCCACTGCCCATCCCAACCCTCCCCTAACAAAGTCCCCTGCCGGTCCCTGTTCCCCCAGCCAGCTGCAGGAACCTACCAACAGCCAGGAGGCTGCCTGGTGGTGTCAACTAAAAAGAGGGAGCGTCTGCGCCGTCACTGTTGGGGAGGGGGCTCTATTAGTGGTTTGAGAGCTTCACAGAAGCCTTCCCCCTCCTAAACCTCCCCAGCCTCCAAGGGGGAGAATTCCACCAGCAGCCCCGCTAGGAACCTAAGCTGGGTTCAGCCATGCAAGCAGCTTCCAGGTGGAACCCCGGCCGTGAGCTTCCCAGCCCTTCTGAAGTGGGAGATGGAGAGCAGGGTGGACGGAGGCGGCCTGCAGCGTGTAAGTCTCCTCTTCCCCGGCCGGCTCCGGGCTGCGGGCTCTGCCAGCTCAGAATTTGCAGAGAATCTGCAGGTCGACCACCCTCGGCAGCTTCAGCTTAACCAAAGTATCAGCCCCAGGCTAACTCTTCCCCAGGCAAGAGGCTATGGGTGGAGGAGGAGGTGCATGCAACAGGCAGCTGGGCCCATCGCCAGCCTCCTTCTGCCGTGCAGCCCCCTCCCCGGAGCCCGCCGAAAACGGGGGGGAGGCGTATGGATGGAATCGGGGACTGTGGACTGTTTTCCAGAGCAACAGGCTGGTGAGGCGACCCCGGGCCCAGGGAGAGGCGCTGAGAAGGCTGCGGGTGAACGGGAGGGCAGAGGGCACACGTGAGAGCACCTTGCACTGGAGGGGACAGGGCTTCCTCGAGCCCTGCCGTCCCCTCCACCTGTCCGGAGTTCGGCCTGGGAGCACCCCACCCTGCAGGGGACGCCACTCCCGGCTTCCTGGAGACGCAGGCGGCCCTGGGGGCGCGGCCGAGGTGGGACTGGGAGTCCCGAGCCCTGGGCCCCGCAGCGACCACTTTTCTTTGGTGGGTCTGCACGCACCCATCCGGGCAGGCGGGGAAAGGGGCCGGGCGGCCACCTCTCCTGACGCCCGCAGCGACTGCCCGTTCTCCTCCGGGTCTGGCCAGCGATGGAAACGCTCCTCCGGCCGAGCCTCAGGGAAGTGCTTCGCCGAGGCCTGCGCCATGCTCTCCTTCTCAGAAAGCGTGAAAGAAAACCCTAACCCAAAGCATGACGGAGTGGGGATTGAGCGGCCGCCGGCCCGCCCCCGAAGGCCATTGATTGGAGGAGACTGGACACAGCGCCAGAAGTTCTCCTTGAGTCGCATGATTGGCTGGGAGAAACAGAAGCTCCGCCCGACCGCAGCGCAGATTAGTGCCAGGCCCGGCCGGTCCCCAGTGTCTCGTGATTGGCGGGGCACAGCAGACGCCCCCTGGGCTGCAGCATGATTGGTCCTGGGTTGCGGGTCCCGGGTCCCTGGTCGGAGCGCCGGCACCTAACAGATGGGCCGGGAGGGTCGCGGTGAGGCCCGGCTCAGTTGCCCCGGTAGACTTCGATCTTGCTGGCCTTGGCCAGCATATCGATGATATGGGCCTCGAAGTCCGCGTCGTGCACGCCAGTCTTCCGGAACTCGCCCGCGTACCGGTTGTTCTCCCAGTAGTGGTGCCAGTTGCCCCGGCTGTCGGCCCCGAACCCGTACACGTTCACCTGCGGGGAAGCGCAGCGCAGCGTCACCCCAGGCGGTGACCCAGAGAACGGCGCGGGGCGGGCTCGGGATGACAGAGAGGAGAGGGGAGCGGGAGGCTCCAGGCCTGGCCTAAGACCATGGACTCACATGGGGACACCACCTTCCCTTTGCAGTTGGCCTTCCTCTGCAGCCCTTGCTAATTCCTTTTTTTTTTTTTTTTCTTTTTAAATGGAGTACTTTGATCAGCACCACTCAATGAAGCACTTGCCGGCAACGTGGGCGTGCTGGGCCTCAGCTCTTGCTCTTCGTGGCAGGGCAACCCTGGTCACTGGTGGAACGGGTTCTCTGAACGACTAAGCTCCATTTTTACACAAAGTAGGCCTGGGGCTCAGAGCTGGTGGGGGCAGCCGTCCAGATGGAATTCAACTACATACACTCTCCATTCTATTTGTGTTTTGTTGTTGTTGTTTTCTTTTTCATTCTGTCACCCAGGCTAGAGTAAAATGCCGCTATCTCGGCTCACTACAACCTACACCTCCTGGGTTCAAGTGATTCTCCTGCCTCAGCCTCCCGAGCAGCTGAGATTACAGGCGTGCCCCACCACGCCTGGCTAATTTTTTGTATTTTTACTAGAGATGGGGCTTCACCATGTTGGCCAGTTTGGTCTTGAACTCTTGACCTCAAGTAATCCACCCACCTCAGCCTCCCAAAGTGCTGGGATTACAGGCGTCAGCCACCACGGGGTCAATAACTTAACTTTTTAATGAAGAGATTTTGGATTTAGTAGAATCATGAAAGCAGAAACATTTGGGAAAGGCATAGCTATACTTTATAGCCTAGAGATGGGGAAAACCAAGGCTACATGAATTCTGCCTACAGAAGCACATTCCTCTGTTAGCCTACTAAGACCTCAGAAGGCCTGCATTCCTCTGTTCCATGGGTTCCCACCACCCACACCAAGGGCCTACCCACCTCATCACACACATGCAGGGCAAAGAAGAGCACCAGCATCCCCGTGGAAGGGTACCGCCCATGATGCTCTGTCCACCGGTCATGGATATACTTGAAGAAGGCTGGGTTGTAGATCTGGACCTGGGAGAAGAAGAGATGACAGGTATATGAGGGGTTTAGGGGCAGAGATTCAGGCTAGACTGAGCGGCTTCTACTTGTCTACGCCTGTCAGCAGACCTGTGCATGTGTCTCCTGAATCATGTGGCACCTGCTGGGGTCAGGCATCTGGGCAGATGGGGACCCTGAGGTTCTGGAGGGGAACTGGAACACCTGAGCTACAGGACCAGGCGCACAGGCTGGGCCAGCACTGTTTCCACTGAGGTGGGGAGGAAGTGGGGAGCTTACCTTTTCTTTATCCACTCGAAGGAAGGACTTCACTGGGGCATAGGTGCTGTAAGCAAATAGAAAGAAATGTAACATTTCAGGCGGGGTGCGGTGGCTCATGCCTATAATCCCAGCACTTTGGGAGGCCGAGGCAGGTGGATTACCTCAGGCCAAGAGTTCGAGGCCAGCCTGACCAACATGGTGAAACCCCATCTCTACTAAAAAAAAAAAACAAAATTAGCTGGGCTTGGTGGAGCACGGCTGTCATCCCAGCTACTTGGGAGGCGGAGGTTTCAGTGAGCCGAGATCAGGCCACTGTACTCCAGCCTGGGTGACAGAGTGAGACCCTAAAAAAAAAAAAAAAAAAAAAAAAGGAGAGGAGGGGAGGGGAGAAAGGAAAGGAGAAGGGAAAGGAAGAAAAGATAACATTTCAGGTGGCCCCATGGCTCCTAGGGATGCCCCCCATGCCAGGCCTGAGCAATGTCAGCCCCACAACTTCCAGACTGCTCTGCTTCTAGATTGCTCTCCTGTGGCTTGTTCATCACTGCCATGCCTTGCTCCAAAGCCTTCAATGCTCCCCATGGCATCCAAGATAAAATGGGGATGTTTTAGGCAAGCAATGGGGCCGTCCCTAGTCCAGCCCCAACCTTCTTCCCCTAGCTCTGTGCTCCAGTAGAGCTGGCAATCATCTCCAATCCACCATGTCTCTGCTCTCACCCCTGCTCTTGATCCACTCCCCTCAGGCTTCCCAGACCACACCTCCCTGTAGCCAGCCATGGCGCCCGTAACCTACATGCCCTTCTCTGAGTGTCTATGGTACTTCAACTCTACTGCACCCATTTTAGCCCTCAGGTCTCCCAAACATGAGATAATGAACATCCTAAAGTCAGGAAACTGTAACTCATTACTTCTGTGTTTATAAAATACATGGTGATGATACCCAAAAGGTAGAACACAAACCAAGTGTCCTTGAAGGATAAACAGATAAACAAAATGGGTATATCCCTACATTGGCATAGTATTCAGCCTTCAAAAAACAGGAAATTCTGACACATGCTACAATATGGATGAACTATGAGGACATTATGCTAAGTAAAGTCAGTCAGACAAAAGGACAAATACTGTTATGATCCCACTTACATGAGGCATAAAGAACAGTCAAATCAGGCCGGGTGTGGTGGCTCACGCCTGTAATCCCAGCACTTTGGGAGGCCAAGTTGGGTGGATCACCTGAGGTCAGGAGTTCGAGACCAGCCTAGACAATGTGGTGAAACCTCGTCTCTAGTAAAAACACAAAAATTGGCCGGGCTCAGTGGCTCATGCCTGTAATCCCAGCACTTTGGGAGGTCAAGGTGGGCGGATCACGAGGTCAGGAGATCGAGACCATCCTGGTTAACATGGTGAAACCCCGTCTCTACTAAAAATACAAAAAATTAGCCGGGCGTGGTGGCGGGCGCCTGTAGTCCCAGCTACTCGGGAGGCTGAGGCAGGAGAATGGCATGAACCCGGGAGGCGGAGCTTGCAGTGAGCCGAGATCGGGCTACTGCACTCCAGCCTGGGCGACAGAGCGAGACTCCATCTCAAAAAAAAAAAAACCACAAAAATTAGCTGGGCGTGGTGGCCCATGCCTGTAGTCCCAGCTACTGGTGAGGCTGAGGCATGACAATTGCTTGAATCTGGGAGGCAGAGGTTGCAGTGAGCCGAGATCATGCCATTGCACTATAGCCTGGGCAACAGAGCAAGACTCAGGCTCAAAAACAAACAGGCCGGGCGCGGTGGCTCATGCCTGTAATCCCAGCACTTTGGGGGGCTGAGGTGGGCGGATCACAAGGTCAGGAGATACAGACCATCCTAGCTAACATGGTGAAACCCTGTCTCTACTACAAATACAAAAAATCAGCTGGGCGTGGCGGCGCTTGCCTGTAATCTCAGCTACTTGGGAGGCTGAGACAAGGAGAATCGCTTGAACCCAGGAGGCGGAGGTTGCAGTGAGCCGAGGTGGCACCACTGCACTCCAGACTGCGCGACAGAGTGAGACTCCATCTCCAAAAACAAACAAACAAACAAACAAGAATAGTTAAATCATAGAGACAGAAAGTAGAATAAGGTTACCTGGGGTTGAGAGGAAAATGGAGAGTTAGTGTTTAATGTGTACAGTTTCCATTTGGGATAATGAAAACGTTCTAGAAATGGACACTGGTGATGGCTATACAATAATGTGAATATACTTAACGTTACTGAGCTTTACACTTAAAAACAGTTAAAATGATAAATGTTATATTGTGTATATTTTACCACAAAACAAAAGTGGATTAATGGTTGCCTAGGGCTGGGGTGGGAAGGGTGGGGAGTGATGGCTTAGGGACCCAGGGGTATCTTCAGATTTTATCAGATTTTTATCTTTAGATGAAAGACCCTTAGAACATGAAAACGTTCTTTTTTTTTTTTTTTTTTTGAGGCAGAGCCTCGCTTTGTTGCCCAGGCTGGAGTGCAGTGGCACAATCTGAGCACACTGCAACCTCTCTCTGCCTCCCAGGTTCAAGCGATCCGATCCTCCCACCTCATTCTCGAGTGGCTAGGACTACAGGAGCGTGCCACCATGTCTGGCTAATTTTTGTATTTTTTGTAGAGACAGTTTCGCCATGTTGCCCAAGGTAGTCTCGAACTCGGGCTCAAACAATCCCCCCATCCTTGGCCTCCTAGAGTGCTGGGATTACAGGCGTGAGCCACTGCATCCAGCAGAACATGAAAATGTTTTTTTTGTTTTTTTTGTTTTTTTTTTTGAGACAGAGTCTCTGTTGTTAGGCTGGAGTGCAGCGGCACAATCTCATCTCACTGTAACCTCTGCCTCCCGGGTTCGAGCGATTCTCCTGCCTCAGCCTCATGAGTAGCTGGGACTACAGGCGCCTGCCACCACACCCAGCTATTTTTTATATCTAGTTAGAGAACAGGTTTCACCCCATGTTGGCCAGGGATGGTCTCAATCTCTTGACCTTGTGATCCTGCCTGCCATCAGCTCTCCCAAAGTGCTGGGATTACAGGTATGAGCCCACGCACCCGGCCAAAAATTTATTTTATTTTTTTTGAGACGAGTTTTGCTCTTGTTGCCTAGGCTGGAGTGCAGTGGCGTGGATCTCGGGCTCACTGCAAACTTCCACCTCCCCAGCTCAAGCGATTCTCCTTTCTCAGCCTCCTGAGTAGCCTGGGATTACAGCGTGCCATGCATCACGCCTAGCTAATTTTTGAATTTAGTAAGAGACGAGGTTTCATCATGTGGGCCAGGCTGGTCTCGAGAACTCCTGACCTCGTATCCACTGCCTCGGTATTTTAGTAGAGACGGGGTTTCACCCTGTTTGCCAGGATGTCGTCGATCTCTTGAACCTCGTGATCTGCCTGCGTCAGCCTCCCAGGTGCTGGGATTACAGGGTGTGAGCCAGTGCCCAGCCATGGAAAATGTTTTTAAAATTAAGTTGCGGCTGGGTGTGGTGGTCTCGATGCCCTAGTAATCCCCACCTTGGGACGGTGAGCTGAGCACAGCAGGATCATCTGAGGTCCGGAGTTCTGAAGACCAGCCGGCCAAGCCTGTAAAAGCGGAAAACCCCCATCTTAACTAAAAATACAAAAATTAAGCCAGGTGGTGACAGAGTGGCCTGTGAAGCCAGCACGTCGGGGAGGCCGAGGCGAGGAGGAATGGTTGACTGGGAGACGGGATGTTACAGTGAGCTGAGATTGTGCCACTGCACTCCAGTCTGGGCAACAGAGTGAGACTCTGTTTAAAAAAAAAAAAAAAAAGTAATTGTGGGCCGGATGTGGTGGCTCATGCCTGTAATCTCAACACATTGGGAGCCTGAGATAGGTGGATCACTTGATGTCAGGAGTTTGAGACCAGCCTGGCCAACATGGCAAAACACCATATCTACTAAAAATACAAAAATCAGCCAGGCATGGTGGCATGTAATTCCAGCTACTCAGGAAGCTGAGGCACAAGAATCCCTTAAACCCGGGAGGTAGAGGTTGCAGTGAGCCAAGATCGCCACTGCACTCCAGCCTGGGTGATAGAGTGAGACTCCATCTCAAAAAAATAATTAAAATTAAAAATTAAAATTAACTGTAGCTGTAGTTATACAACTCTGAATATATAAGAAGTTACCGGATTGTACACATTAAATAGGTGAGATGTATGGGATGTGAATCTTATCTTGATAAAGCTGCTAAAAAATATACTTTGTGAACTAGATTTCCCGTGGTTCCCAGCTATGATGGGATGACTGCCCCCAAAGAAAGTCCTCAGAAGGCAGAGCTTCCTCAGTCAGAAGCTATCACCCAGAAAGGAGACCAAAATCAGACGGTCTGGTCAGGCGTGGTGGCTTACGCCTCTAATCCCAGCACTGTGGGAGCCCGAGGTAGGAAGACCACCTGAGGTCACGAGTTCGAGACCAGCCTGACCAACATGAAGAAACCTGTCTCTACCAAAAATACAAAATTAGCGGGGCATGGTGGTGCATCCCTGTAATCCCAGCTACTCAGGAGGCTGAGGCAGGAGAATTGCTTGAACCCGGGAGGCGGATGTTGCAGTGAGTCAAGATGGCGCCACTGCACTCTGGCCTGGGCAACAAGAGTGAAATTCTGTCTTAAAAAAAAAAAAAAAAAAAAAAAACAGATGGTCCTTCCTCATCTTTCCACCATCAGTATGCTACATGTCACCACGCAGAAGGTGACACAGAGCAAGCTGTGTCTTCAGCTCACTCGCCATCTTAGGCCCTCCCTTCTCATCAGCTCCTCTTGGCCAAAATATTCAATGAAAGGAATTCTACAATCTGACCCCTAGGAAGACTCTGCCCAAGGTGGTCCTGTCACCCATATTCTACCCAGGCCAGCAAGAGGCTCACAATCGGATCTGCCCTGTGGACAGGGCGCTGGCAATCCACAGAAGGTCCAGGGCCTTGAAGGGCACCAGCACGAAGCTGACGTTGGCGGGCAGGTTCTTGGCACTCTCAGGGTACATGAAATGGTGGGTGGTTCGGCTGCCAACATCCTGCTCAAAGCCCACGGTTGGCGCCTGATTCATCCTGCAGGGACAAGAGGGTGACATGAGAATCAACTGCCATGGAAACTGGTACAAGATTCTTAGAGGACAGTTCGAAGCCATCCATCAAAAATGCAAACGGGTGTATACTCCAACCAAGCAATTCCATTGCTAGAAATCTAACCTACAAAAATGGTTATGGCCAGGCATGGTGGCTCACGCCTGTAATCCCAGCACTTTGGGGGGCCAAGGTGGGCGGATCACGAGGTCAGGAGATCGAGACCATCCTGGCTAACACGGTGAAACCCCGTCTCTACTAGAAATACAAAAAATTAGTGGGCGTGCTAGCAGACACCTGTAGTCCCAGCTACTCGGGAGGCTGAAGCTACTTGGGAGGCTGAAGCAGAAGAATGGTGTGAACCCGAGAGGCAGAGCTTGCAGTGAGCCGAGATTGGGCCATTGCACTCCAGCCTGGGTGACAGAGCGAGACTCCATCTCAAAAAAAAAAAAAAAAAATGGTTACATAAGTGTGCAAAGACGTGTATGAGGATATTCACTGCAGAATTATTTACAATAGTAACACTAGAATCAATCAAACAGGCCGAGTGTCGTGGTTCACACCTGTAATCCCAGCACTTTGGGAGGCCAAGGTAGACGGACTGCTTTGAGGCCTGGAATTCGAGACCAGCCTTAGCCAACATGGTGAAACCCCATCTTTACTAGAGAAAAAAATACAAAATTAGCCTGGCATGGTGGCATATACCTTTAATCCCAGCAACCTGGGAAGCTGAGGCAGGAGATGTGCTTGAACCCTGAGGCAGAGACTGCAGTGAGCCGAGATCGCACCACTGCACTCCAGCCTGGGTGACAGAACAAGACTCTGTCTCCAAAAAAAAAAGGTTACTCTCAGAGTAACTTTGGGGGCTTAACTCATTTTTTTTACTGTATACATTTTTATTTATTTACTTTAACTATTATTTTTGAGATAGGGTCTCACTCTGTTGCCCAGGCTGGAGTGCAGTGGTGCTATCTTGGCTCACTGCAACCTCCGCCTCTGCCTCCCAGGTTCAAGCAATTCTCCTTCCTCAGCTTCCTGAGTAGATGGGACTACAAGCATGTGCCAGTGCGCCCAGCTAATTTTTTGGTGTTTTTTTTTTTTTTTTTTTTGAGACGGAGTCTTGCCCTGTCGCCCAGGCTGGAGTCCAATGGTGTGATCTCAGCTTACTGCAACCTCCACCTCCCGGGTTCAAGGGATTCTCCTGCCTCAGCCTCCCGAGACCTCAAGTGATCTGCCTGCCTCAGCCTCCCAGACTGCTGGGATTACAAGCGTGACCCACCACACCCAGCCACTTTTGTATTTTTAGTAGAAAAGTGGTTTTGCCATGTTGGCCAGGCTGGTCTCAAACTCCTGGCCTCAGGCAATCTGCCTGCCTCGGCTTCCCAAAGTGCTGGGATTACAGCCCCGAGCCACCACGCCCGGCCCTGTTTTTTTTTTAAGTCTCACTCTGTCACTCAGGCTGGAGTGCAATGCCATCATCATGGCTCACTGCAGTCTCGACCTCCTGGGTTCAATCAATCCTCCAGCTTCAGCCTCCTGAGCAGCTGGGACCACAGGCGTGCATCACCATGCCCGTTTTGTTTTCTGTTTTGTACAGATAGGGGTCTCACTATGTTGTCCAGGCTGGTCTCAATCTCCTGAACTCAAGCAACCCTCCTGCCTCAGCCTCCTGAGTAGTCGGGACGACAGGCAGATGACACCAGGCCTGGCCTTTTATAATTTTTAAAAGAAAGAACTTTTAAAGAACAGCCTTCCACAGCTTCCACCTTACTTGGCTGTTCTGCCTCTTTCCTATAAGATGGTGAAAGAAAGATAGAAGTTCAAGCCTTCCCTCAGGCGCTGGGCTGGATGGAAGCCTCTGTCCTGCCACCTACTACCACCCTATTCCTGTCTGCCGCCTTAAGACCCTGTCTGCCCTTCCACTCCAAGGCCAAGAGAAATGTCCCAAGTTCTCACGGTCTGCCCTTGCTATCTCTCTGGTGATGTGCAATGTCCCCTCTCTTCTGCTGCTGTCTGGACAGAGGGGACATTGCTGTGGCTCCTGTCTAGAAACCCTCTCTGTGGGTATAATAAGCTAAGAAGGAGTCTCGCTCTGTCGCCCAGGCTGGAGTGCAGTGGCGTGATCTCGGCTCACTGCAAGCTCTACCTCCTGGATTCACGCCATTCTCCTGCCTCAGCCTCCCGAGTAGCTGGGACTACAGGTGCCCGCCACCGCGCCGGGCTAATTTTTTGTATTTTTAGTAGAGACAGGGTTTCACCATGGTCTCGATCTCGTGATCCGCCTGCCTCGGCCTCCCAAAGTGCTGGAATTACAGGCGTGAGCCACTGCGCTCGGCCCCACTTCCTTTCAATTTATGCAAAATACAAGACAAGTAAAAACCAAAGCTCCCCTTTTTAGTATGCATCTTACGTAACAGGTGAACCAGGTTTAAATACAAACCTGTTGGTCTTTTTTTTTCTGTTATGACTGTTTACCTTGTGGAATCATGACTACCAAGGCAGGGTGATCATAACCTGGCCCTCCACTAGGAGCACAGGGACCCAGGGAGGGAGGGAGCGCAGTCCCTAGGTGGCTCTCCCGGCTTTTTATGCCAGTTCTGTAAAACCAGCACAAACATTCCCTGTCCTTACAGTGGCTGGCAGCAGCTAGCTGGCCTTGGTGAGGACTTGCTGTGTTACAGGGGCTGCCACGCTATCTTCATCAAGGACGGGACTGGGGAGGACAGTGGGCTGTGCTGTCCCCTTGCCCTGCCGGTCACATCGCTGTGCCCCCTACCTCTCATTTTCCTTTGAGGGTCTGGAGGGTGCTTTGGGGTTGGAGGTCTCAAAACCTAGAGGACATCTGTGTTCCTAACCACTTCGTTCTAGCTAGCTTCAAGCAGATACCTAGAATTTCTTCCAGAGAAACTAACATGCTCTGTCTCCAGAATAGGGATCTAGTTCCTGCCTCTCCCCCAAATTCATGTCTTTCAGTGAACTGCCCCTTTGAGCCCAGTCTTTAGGGTTTAGAGATCCTGTCTCCTAGAAGAGCCAAGAAGTATCTTTCCCACCCATGAATAACTCTTAACAGCTTGTGGGCTGCTGAACTCCCCACACAGGCATTGGGGTCCTACGGTCACACTGACGCAGTCTGGACCTGCCTCCTGCCAAGCACCATGGGGCCTGTGAGGAACAGAGCAGTTGGAGAGGAAGCCTTAACAGGGTATGTCAGAGCCAGAAGTGTGTCTCAACTGCCCAGGGTATGGCAGGGGTAAGCAGGAGGTGGAGGAATTGGGCTGGTGACACAGGCTGGCCGGGGCCTGGGTGGGGCAGGAGCTAGGATCAAGGTATGCTCTTTTTCTTCTCCCTTTTTTTTTTTTAAATAGAGATGGGGTTTCGCCATGTTGCCCAAGCTGGCTTCGAACTCCTGGGTTCAATCAGTCCTCTCGCCTCAGCCTCCCAAAGTAGTGGGATTACAGGCGTGAGCCACCGCGCCCAGCCAAGGTGTACACTTGAGAGGACCTAAGAAACAAACTTCATCTCACCAGAGATGGTGAGGCCAAGAGATTCTGCAGAGCACAGGGCTGCATCCAGCCCAGGCTGGCTTCTGAAGACCCACCTTCTACAGCGACTTGGCAGCCTGAGCTGTCATGAAGTCCCCATGGGACCTGTCAGCCAGGGTCACCCTGCCTCCAGGCTGGCCGTGCTACAGAGCCTGGCCCTCCCTCACTTCCCCCGTGGCTGGCCAGTCACCAGCTTCGAAATATCTGGGAATGAAGGGAGCAAGAGGTCCCAAAAGATGTTTCACAGCCTCCACAGGAAAGGGAAGGAACATGGCACTCTAACAGGGACGAGGTTTTGTTTCAAGGCTCTGATTCATCCTGGAGAAGCCACGCCCTGGAAAGGGGCCAGAGCAGGACAAGGAGGATGAGCTGCATCTCTGGGACTCGGGAACACGGCATTCTAGAAATCTATCTGTCCCTGGCTGCCTCCAGCAGCTAAAGAAGTATTCAGACCAGAGCGCAAGTGGGGTGTGTACTCCCTGGTTAGGACCTGCTGTTGGCTGCCTAGTCTCCTTCACTCCTGCATGTATCTGTGGCACGCCTCCTGTCTAGAGGGCACTGTTCTCGGAGTTGTGGATGGATCTGCAGGCCAACTGAGGCAAGATCAGCTTAACTGGACTTGAAGCGGTCCACAGGGCTCAGAGGACAAAGAGGAGGAGGGAATGGCAGCGAGGTGGGCGGGGCACAGGTGGATCAGGCCATCATCTTGCTGTAACTCAGTTCAGCCCTCCAGTGGGTCTTGCTTCCAGGACCATTGGTTCCAAACTTGGATATGCCTACAATTGGAGTCACCCCCAGTGCCATCTGTTGTTTTTGTTTTTGAGATAGGGTCTTGCTCTGTTGACCAGGCTAGAGTGCAGTGGTGCCATCACAGCTCACCACAGCCTCAAACTCTTGGGCTCAAATGATCCTCCTGCCTTAGCCTCCCGAGTAGCTAGGACTACAGGCTCACACCAGCAAGCCCAGCTTATCCACTGCCAGCCAGTTCCTTAGACCAGCAGATGGCCAGTTACTACCCAGGTCACCCCTTCCAGAAAGTGATTCTGGGGTCCACTCTATACCACCCCACTTCCTTACCTGGCCCCCGGGAGGAAGCATCTATAAAATTTTTTTTTTTTTTTTTTTTTTTGAGACAGTTTCTCCCTTGTTGCCCAGGCTGCAGCACAATGGCATGATCTTGGCTCACTCCAACCTCCGCCTCCTGGGTTCAGACGATTCTCCTGCCTCAGCCTCCTGAGTAGCTGGGATTATAGTTATGCACCACCATGCCCGGCTAATTTTTGTATTTTTAGTACAGATGGGATTTCACCATGTTCGCCAGGCTGGTCTTGAACTCCTGACCTTAGGTATCTGCCTGCCTCGGCCTCCCAAAGTGCTGGGATTACAGGCGTGAGCTGCCGCGCCCAGCCTTATAAATGTCTTTCTGCAGCCCCGCCTGACAGTACCGGCCAGGAAACTTAGAGCCAGTCCTTTTGGGCCTGCAGGGCTTCCACCCAGGAGCTTCCTGACCATCACGTAGGTGCCTGCCCAGTGAAAGCTCAAACCTGATGCAGGTGCTTCAGGCAGCTGAGAGCACTGTCCTGGGCTTTCCGAGTGCCCAGAGCTGCATGGAAGTGACAGATCCCTCAATTCCCAACCTGGCCATGGTGTCTGGAAAGAGGAGAGGCCCCTCTAACACCAGTTCCCATCCCATCTCTCTCCCATTGGGGTATCAGCAGTTGGAGGATATGGATATCCTCAGGTGGTTCCAGGGTCCTGGACAGGGTCCAGTCCATCCTGTTCACCCTCCCACTTGCACCATTTCCCAACATGAGGAAGGTCTTACATGGAATGCTGAATGCCTCCGAGACATATTGCTGCCTTTGTGTTGCTATGGAGACAGTAACAGTTTCTAAGACAAAGCCCTTTCTTCTGCCTCCTGGGAAACCTGGTCTTTCTGCAATGCTCAGCCTAAGAGATGAGTGAAAACTGGGCATTGGCAGGATCTCGGTTCTTCAGGCTCTTCCTCCATCAAGGAGTTGGGTAGAAGGATCCCCACTGTGGCATTTCTTGTCCCCAGCCAAGTCAAGGGGGGACATCAGAAAACACAGGCTCTGGAGCAGAGCAAGCAGCCCATGTTCAGGTTGCGAGCCTGCCCCCGTTCCCTGTTCATGCCCAGGCCTTCGCTGCAGAGTCTCGGTCAGGACTGAACGCCCTCCCAACTCTTCTCCCCTCCTCACGGCGGGGAATAGACGTCTTGGGAATGAATGAGCCCCAGAGTAAATACCAAACAGCTCCTTTTAGCACCCACGACATCTGCATTCCGTGCATCTGCCAGAGAGAATCACCTGCTGCTGAGAAGCAGGATGCTAGCTGGGCTTGGGGCCCTCACTCGCTCAGCTGCTGAGGGGATGAGGAGGACAGGGCCGGCTTCTGATGGGAATTTTTGTTTTTGAGACAGTGTCTCAGTCTATTGCCCAGGCTGGAGTGAACTGGTACAATCATAGCTCACTGTAGCCTCGAACTCCTGGGTTCAAGCAATCCTCCTGCCTCAGCCACCCCAGTAGATGGGAATACAGACACACACCACAATGCCCAGCTAATCTTTAAAAATTTTTTGCAGACACAGGGTTTCGCCATGTTACCTAGGCTGGTCTCTAACTCCTGGGGCTCAAGCGATCCTCCCACCTCAGCCTCTCAAAGCACTGGAATTACAGGGATGAGCCACCGTGCCCGGCCTCTGGTGGGATTTTTCACCAAACGTCAGCCAGGAATCTCATGTCAGCTGTTTCCAGAGGAATTCAGAGCATTGGAAACAGAGTGCAGGCCTCAAGCAAAAACAGAGTGCAGGCCTCAAATCCCCTTAGATTTGGGATTCTGGCTCCCCATCCACCCCAAACAGGCAAAGGAGAGAGCTCCAAGCCTGCTATGAAAGACGCTGGGAGGCAGGGCCCCAGAGCACATTGGTAACTGGCAGCATGCACTCTGCCAGACATGGCAGAGGAGAGCAGTCCCCCTCCCGGAGGCCCGTCCTGGACCCACCCTTGGGCTCCGCAGGGGCTCACCTCATGATGAAGTTGTGTCCGTCCACGTCCTGCCCATAGCCAGAGCCCCGCAGGTTGCCGGAGTTCCCCACCACAGCACAGCGCCGGCACTGGTGGGGGTCCCGGAAGCGGTAGGGGTTCTCGCCGGGCACTATTTGGAACAGCTTCTCCAGCACCTCGTTGGTGTTGTGTGATTTGAACTGGGGCTGCAGCATCTATGGAAGGGAGAGGAAGATGGAAAATGAGGAAGGGGAGAGGTGTGTGAAGGAGGAGGGGCCCCATCCCCCCCTCTTCTGCTCTCACTCTCCAGTGCCTGGGCACAGGCCTCTTTATCCAGGGCTCTGCCAGGGAACAGGGATTCTTTCCTCTGGGCAGTAAGGGTCTCTCCCTCTCTCAACGACAGCGAAGTCCCCAGTTGTGAGTGAGTCTCAACGTCTGGAGATTGGGTGCCCTGCTAGTCACGGGTGGCTCTGATGCACTAGAAGGGGCTCTGGATCAAGGTGCCTTTCACACATTCTCTGGGAACCTGCAGGCCTGGGCCACGGAACAGAGCAGCCTCCTTTAGGGGCTCCTTCCTGGTCAGCCTACAGGGGGCGCCCTCAGCACTCAGGCTGAGGACTGGGGTTGCAGAAGCCGCGTCTAGGGCAACAGTCCAGCCACTCCCTGAGCCCCCACCCAGGGAAGGGCAGAGAGGCTGATAATTCTTTCAGAGCCAGAATGGCTGGAATAAAACTGGTGTCCTGGTGTCCCCTCCTACCAGCGAGACTTGTACTAACCAGCTGGTGGTCAAAGACCATGAAACGAGGCAGCACCAACCAGATGCTTAGGGACCCAGCAGGTACCACACAGGAGTAACATGGTAGGTAAGGTCCACACCCAACAGATCTGAGCCCCGGCAAAGAAGGGCAACTTCAGCCAACTGTTGCCACGTGGGATCATGAGCCCAGAAGGGCCAAAGTTTCCCATTTTTCAAGAGACAATGAAAGTAAGGATTTTCTCCAGCCTGGGAGACAGAGCGAGACTCCGTCCCAAAAAAAAAAAAAAAAAAAAAAAGAAAGTAAGGATTTCATATGAAATAAGAAAAATGAAATCCTGATTTTTCTATTTTTTTTTTTTTGAGATAGAGTTTCACTCTTATTGCTCAGGCTGGAGTGCAATGGCACAATCTTGGCTCACCGCAACCTCCGCATCCTGGATTCAAGCGATTCTCCTGCCTCGGCCTCCTGACTAGCTGGAATTACAGGCATGCGCCACCACACCCAGCTAATTCTGTATTTTTAGTAGACATGGGGTTTTTTCATATTGGTCAGGCTGGTCTCGAACTCCCGAACTCAGGTGATCCACCTGCTTTGGCCTCCCAAGGTGTGGGATTACTTTTACTCAAAAGTAAATTACTTTTACTCAAAAGTGTTGGAATTATTTTTACTCAAAAAAAAAAAAAAAACAAAACCCACATAAAAATAAAATAAAACATTCTGTGGATGGAGCCATAACTCAATGGGTTTGTGGGTGAGCAGGGCCTGCTCAGGGGAGATGGGAGATTGATCTGTAGGGAGAGATTGAGACAAGAATTCCTATATAAAAATTAGCCAGGTGTGGTGGTGCGCGCCTGTAGTCCCAGCTACTCTGAAGCTGAGGTAGGAGGATCGCTTGAGCCTGGGGGGGGGTCAAGGATGCAGTGAACCAAGACTGTGCCACTGCAAAGACAGTGAGAACCTGTATCAAAAAAAGCTGTCACAGTAAGAGCCCATGGGGCTCCTAGTGGCCCTAGCTCTGCAGACCCCGGTCCTTGGGCACTCTGACAGTCTGGGCTGGAAGGCATGTTCTGTGGCATCGTTCTGATAAACCTGATCACATGAGCTCATCCCTCACAGCTTGGGAGCCTGCAGGGGCTCAGTGCTGACATGGTTCCACCCATGACATGTGTGGCAACCAGATGGCCTGCAGAGCCTGGGGAGTGACTCCAGAGCCTTGGGGCGAGGCAGAAGGAATTACAAGTAGCAGAAAAGTGATGACTGGAAAGACAGGGAGAACCCCCCAGCCCCACCCCTTCAACTCCCTTAGCCCCTGACGGTTCTTTACATTGCTTGTTTTTTTTAACTCTAGAATCAGGCAATACTTTATTTCATAAAATAGATTAAGTCTTCCCTACACACCTTTCTTTTCTTTTCTTTTTTTTTTTTTTTTTGAGACGGAGTCTCGCTGTGCTCCCAGGCTGGAGTGCAGTGGCGTGATCTCGGCTCACTGCAAGCTCCGCCTCCCGGGTTCACGCCATTCTCCCGCCTCAGCCTCCCAAGTAGCTGAGACTACAGGCGCCCGCCACCTTGCCCGGCTAGTTTTTTGTATTTTTTTAGTAGAGACGGGGTTTCACCATGTTAGCCAGGACAGTCTCGATCTCCTGACCTCGTGATCCACCCGCCTCGGCCTCCCAAAGTGCTGGGATTACAGGCTTGAGCCACCGCGCCCGGCTTCTTTTCTTTTTTTTGAGACAGAGTCTCACGTTGTTGCCCAGGCTGGAGTGCAGTGGCGTGATCTTGGCTCACTGCAACCTCTGCCTCCCAGGTTCAAGCGATTCTCCTGCCTCAGCCTCCTGAGTCGCTAGGATTACAGGCGCCTGCCACCATGCCTGGCTAATTTTTTTTTTTTAATTTTTAGTAGACGGGGTTTCAACATGTTGATCAGGCTGGTCTCAAACTCCTGACCTCGTAACCCACCCAGCTTGGGCTCCCAAAGTGCTGGGATTACAGGCATGAGCCACCGCGCCCAGCCTTCCCTACAAGGCTTTCTTATCCCAGCCCAGTAAAAAGTCTTCCAGCAATTGTAAAGAACCAAGCAAGAAGCTCTGTTATAATGGTATTTACAATTATTTCAGCTGGGCATAGTGGCTCACACCTGTAATCCCAGCACTTTGGAAGGCTGAGGCGGGAGGATCATCTGAGGTCAGGAGTTTGAGACCAGCCTGGCCAACAAGGTGAAACCTCGTCTCTACTAAAAATACAAAAAAATTAGCTGAGGGTGGTGGCGCACGCCTGTAATTCCAGCTACTAGGGAGGCTGAGGCAGGAGAATCACTTGAACCTGCAGGCAGAAGTTACAGTGAGCCATCACAGCACCACTGCACTCCAGCCTGGGTGACAGAATGAGACTCCATCTCAAAAAACAAACAAATAGAAAACAATTATTGTGAGTCAATGTTCATAAATTAGGATACTTAGTTTTAAAATCTGGATTTCTGGGTTTGCTTAAAAAAAACCCAGATCCAGCCTTGTGCAGCAACAACTGCCGGGGCCAAGGGATGGCTGCCTCCTTCCTCTGGGGCAGGCCCCCCATGGCTGTACTCCTCACTCCCACCTGCTCCCTGTGTCCGTGCTGCCTGCCTGGTCCAGGAGGCATTTCTGGCCTATGCTCAGGTCCTACAGGCACTGGAAAATACTAGTCCACTCCATCAGGTCAATGCTCGCTCTGCCCTTCAGTCATCTGTGATCCTATAAATGGCTTGGTCAAACAGGCATTACACTTTGTCAAGACTCTGGGGGCCAGAAATCCAAGAGGGGGCCCTGAGTGGCTTTAAAACCGGGGACAGATCCCTGGAAGGGGGCAGCAACTCTTACCATCCACCACCTCTGGACATCCGGTGGAAGATCCATGTTCTCTCGGGTCCAGACGGGGGAAATGTTGCCATCAAAGTGGCTGTCAAACCAGTCGGAGGCGCCAGTGTCACCCATGCAGCGGCGACAGGTGCAGCTCTTGCCCGAGAGCCCCTCCTTGCTAAGGCGCTGCAGGCCGGCATAGCCGGGCACCAGCTTCACCCGGTGCGTCCCACCCAGGGCCCCCGAGTCCAGGTAGGGCAGTGTGGCCATGCTGTGGTGCGAGTAGGTGAAGAGTAGGGACATGATGAATACCAGCAAGAAGGCCACAGAGAGGAACCACACCCGCAGGGAGCACTTCATGGTGCCAGCAGGTGGGTGGTGGTCACCGTGGCCACTCCTTTCCCAGCCCACTGAGGGGCCAGCCACAGTGTAGCCTGTCTATTCTGGCACCACATGCAAAGGGCATAGGGGCACGTGCTGTAGCAGGGGACAGTGGCAGGGGTCCCTTGCCACGCTCTCCCTCAATGTGGGGAGAACGCACGTTGGCAGGAGTGGCTGTCCTGTCCCTGAGTCAGGTGGGGCCCCTGCTTAGGGCTTCATCGGGTCTGTCACTAGCTGGGCCACAGAGGCTCTGCCTCTCCCGCCACCCTGGTGAGGGGGAGGTCAGTCCATCGCAGCCCTCTAGTCCCTTGGGATTGCTGGCTGCCAGCTCTAGGGGTCCCCCTCTTTGGCGGCTTGAAATAATCCAGTCTGGAGCAGTCGGGGTCCTTGTGGTTCATGAGCAGACAATGAGGCGGCCCCTCGTCCCCGGCAGCGGGGAAGCCCTAGAACTCCAATCACAACAGAGAGCACATGGGCTTCAGGAGACCTGGGTTCCATGCACGTGTCCCACCTCGGCTGGTCCTCCTGGCCCAAAACCTCTGCCAGAGGAGGGAAGCCAAACCCCAGGCCTGAGAGGAGAAAAACGGGAAGGCTGTGAGTGCTGGAAAACTCCGCTGCAGAGATCGAGGTCCTTTTCGTGGTAGGTCCTGCCCTACTGCTTCCCATATGAGGTGCTGGGCCCTTCTCCTCGTGGTCTCAGCCCCAGCTGCAGTTGCATAGGGGTCGCAAAGCTCCTACTGTGGCTGTGGGGTCCTCTGGCGTTGGTAACAGCTGCCGTTCAGCGGGGCACTGTGTCCAATACCATCTGGGTCAGGCGAGCGTGTGCTGAGCTCCCCATCAGGGCCCAGGTCTCCTTCCTGGTACTGCTGGCCCAGGTTCAGCAGCTGCTCTGCCCGTCCCCGCTCCCCGGGGCCAGCCTGTCCTGCTGTTAGCTCGCAGTAATCCTGACAGGTTCCCTTTCACATGTCGAGCGCCAGGCTGCCGCAGTGCGACCCTAAAATGGCAGAGAGGAGAAATAATGTGCAGATGAATCACACGGGCACCAGGCTTTGTCCCAGCACCAGGCTTTGTCCCAGCACCAGGCTTTGTCCCAGCACCAGGCTTTGTCCCAACCCCACCCCAAGTCCCAGAGGGGACAAAGCTAGCAGCACAGGAGATGCCCACTTAATCAAAGGGTGGACATGACCAAGGGCTCTGCCCTCTAGGTGTACAGATAGCATCACTCTGTGGGACTCCAGGGCCTGGAGGACTAGATTAACCCAGAGTTTTCACTTCTTTTATTTTTGTTTTTTTTTTGAGAAGGAGTCTCGCTCTGTCGCCCAGGCTGGAGTGCAGTGGCCGGATCTCAGCTCACTGCAAGCTCCACCTCCCGGGCTTACACCATTCTCCTGCCTCAGCCTCCCGAGTAGCTGGGACTACAGACGCCCGCCACCTCGCCCGGCTAGTTTTTTGTATTTTTTAGTAGAGACGGGGTTTCACGGTGTTAGCAAGGATGGTCTCGATCTCCTGACCTTGTGATCCGCCCGTCTCAGCCTCCCAAAGTGCTGGGATTACAGGCTTGAGCCACCGCGCCCGGCGAGTTTTCACTTCTTAGCCAGAAGGTAAACAAGGAGTCAAGTGATTTTCCCTAAGCCACATGCTGGAAGTATCAGATTTAGAAGGTTCCTAGCCCAGCTATGTACAGTTAGTTTCAGGTGAAACGTCAGAGAAAACAGCCCAGGGAAGATCCCAGGGGACTATGGATGCTGACTGCCCCCACAGCGCTCTTTGGAGCCTGTCAGTGCCTGCAAAGGCCTCTCCCAGTCAGAAGGGAGGGCTGGCCGGTCTCTGACCGCCCCTCTTCTCTCAACTGTGGATTATCAATGAGGCATTGCTGGGTCCACTCAGTGAACCATGAACAGTCCTGTCAGCTCCGACGTTGGGGGAGAACCTGGCTGTGTCAGGAGGTGTGGCTGCTGGGCTTGGTCCTGCCCCCAGACAGCCCTGAGGGCAGTTGCCTACATCCATATGTACATTATGGACAAAGTGAATGCCAGGGTCCCGGGTAGCGCTGACAGCCTAAGGCCCCATGCTACCCTTCCAGGCAAGAACAGGGAGAAGAGGCCACTTGTAGGCAGTTTGGGTCTCAGCCATAAGGAAAGGAGCTCGGATCCATGCCAGGTGCGAGAGAATCACAGCAGGTGAGAGGAACGCTGAGAAGGGAACCCCTGAGCACTGGCTCTGTGCCGTGGGAATCCTGCAAAGCTGGCTGCCTCGCCTCTCCCCAGCTCCCCTCCAAATCCGCCTAGCAGCGCTGCTGACCTAGCCCCTGGGCCTCTCAGCGCAGCCCTGTTCCCGATCCTTGTTGAAGTCTCCAGCCCACTTTTGGGGTCTCCTGGCTGCTTCCAGCAGCTGCAGACAAGGCCTCTCAGGCTCTGTGTTCAAGAAACCTAGCTGTCCCTCCATTTGTGGCCACAAAGCCAGCAGGGAATGGAACAAACATATTGCAATAAGGACATTATTCTGGGTGGGAAAATGATGTTCACAAAAGTAGAGGAACTTACCTAAGGTCACAACCTTGTGAATACAGGTGACTTTGGGATAGGTCAGGGCACAGAAAGGCTGTGGCCTCCCTGAACCACCCAGGGCTCAGGAGTGAGAGGGAAGGAGATGTGGAGTTGGCTTCTCAGGGTCACAAGTGAAGCCCCACCCACAGGCCTCACCAGGGCTCCTGGCTCTAATCCAGAGACCCCAGCAGTACTGGCTCAAAGGTGCTTCTTCTAATGTTCTGCTGTACCCATTTAGCAGATCCCACTCTAGTCATGGCCTTGTCTGAACAAACTGTAGACGGGAAGCCAGGTCCTTGTCTCCTCTCATTCTCCCTCTGCCTGCTGCATGCTCAGCATCTAAGGAAAGAACTCAAGTTCTTTCAGGGTTCTGCTCCCAGCTTCCTGTGACCTGAGGAGAGCCAGTCATGAGGCAGGTGGCCCTGGAAGGCAGTGACTTTGCAGTTGATGGGAGCAAGAGGTCCTGCCTGGGGAGACCTGGTTTCTGGCTAGGCAGTCCTGCAGTGGCCACTGAAGGCGGGGGCTGGGCAAAGCTGGCACAGGAGGCTTCCAAAGGAAGCAACTCAATCAGAGGTCACTAACTCCTTGGGATGCTAGATCAACGCAGGGGGCACCTGATGGAATTGCACTGCCTGTTGGGGAGAGGAAAATCCCTGGTTTTGACAACATGTCTGGAAAGAGCAGAGAAGTAGAGCATCTGGCAAAGGCCCTTGCTTTGGGAGCCCCAGGTCCAGGTGTTACTGCAAACTTAGGCTGCTCAGCTTGCTGTGGTGAGGGCAAATGGAGCCATGGGGAGGAGCTAAAAAAAAAAATCAGAGGCCCCCTGACATGCACTAAAAATCCCAAAAGTGACCTGGCACTGACTCTCTCACAGTTCATTTCTACCTGTGCCTCTCAGTTGCCCACTGCATCATGGGCTCGCTCCCCTTCACAGCTACTCAGATCATTCATGATAAGACCATGCGTACCTCGATACAAAGAGCTCAGAGAAGGCAGGCCTGGTGGCTCATGCCTGTAATCCCACCACTTTGGGAGACTGAGGCAGGTGGATCACCTGAGGTCAGGAGTTCAAGACCAGCCTAGCCAACATGGTGAAACCCCATCTCTACTAAAAATACAAAAATTCAGCCAGGCGTTGTGGTGGCCAACTATAATCCCAGCTATGCGGGAGGCTGAGGCAGAAGCATCACTTGAACACAGGAGGCAGAGGTTGCAGTGAGCCGAGATCACACCATTGCACTCCAGCCTGGGTGACAAGAGCAAAACCGTCTCAAAAAAAAAAAAAAAAAGCCCAGGCGTGGTGGCTTACGCCTGTAATTCTAGCACTTTTGGAGGCCGAGGTGGGTGGATCACCTGAGGTCGGGAGTTTGAGACCAGCCTGACCAACATGAAGAAATTCCATCTCTACTAAAAATACAAAATTAGCTGGACATGGTGGCACATGCCTGTAATTCCAGCTACTCGGGAGGCTGAGGCAGGAGAATCACTTGAACCCCAGAGGCGGAGATCGCGCCAATGCACTCCAGCCTGGGCAACAAGAGCGAAACTCTGTCTCAAAAAAAAAGAATGGATAAATTGTGGTGCATTTTGTGCCATATAGTAAAACGAATGAACTCCAGTTTCAGACATTAACAGGGATGAATATGGCCAAAAAACTATTATATCGAGCAAAAAGAGTAGTCATGGATAAATGATCACAGCACGAATCCATGAAAAGCTAAAAAATATGCAAAGCTAAGCAAGACATTGTCTATGCCTCTCTGTAAAGATAATAATAGAGAAAATCAAGGAAACAACACAAAATTCAGGGAATTCCTCTGGAGGGAGAAGAGAGGTAGATGAAATAAGGAGGGCTGAAGATGCTTCAGGAGTACTGTGTACCTCATAATGCAGGTGGTGGGTACAGAAGTATTTTTTTTCTTTTGAGATGGAGTCTTGCTCTGTCACCAGGCTGGAGTGCAGTGGCATGATCTTGGCTCACTGCAGCCTCCACTTCCTGGGTTCAAACAATTCTCCTGTCTCAGCCTCCCGAGTAGCTGGGATTACAGGCGTGTGCCACCACATCCAGCTAATTTTTTGTATTTTTATTAGAGATGGGGTTTCACTATGTTGCCCAGGCTGGTCTCCAACTCCTGACCTCAGGTGATCCACCCGCCTCGGCCTCCCAAATTGCTGGGATTACAGGCATGAGCCACTGCACCCGGCCATGGAGGAGTATTTCTTGTTTATTCTTTAAAGAGCACAAACACGCTATATACTACTTTGAGTCTATGATGCATTTCATAGTAAAAATCTAAAATGCTTTTAGGTTAAAACATGTTTTATTAAAGGACTACTCTGGCTGTTGCATAAGACTAGCAGGGAGACCAGAAAGGAACTGCTGCAATATCCCAGGTGGTGGAGGTGGTGAGAAATGGCTGGATGTACTCTGAAGGGCTTAACTAGTAGGGTAGTTGGAGGGTACAAGGAGGGGGCCCATGGGGAAAGGAAGAGGGGAACAGGGTGGGAAGAGGAAGACAGGAATCAGGGAGACATGGAGGCTGTGGCCTGAGCAACCTGGTGGATGGGGATGCCATTCACTATACAGAAAAGACAGAAAATTAATGGGTTTTGCTGAGAAAAAACAAAAGTTCTGGTTAAATTTAAAATGTCTTTTAGGCCGGGTGTGGTGGCTCATGTCTGTAATTCCAACATTTTGGGAAGCCAAGGCGGAAAGATCACTTGAGGTCAGGAGTTTGAGACCAGCCTGGGCAATACAGCAAGAACCCATCTCTACAAAAAAGTGAAAACACTGGGCATGGTGGCTCACGCCTGTAATCTCAGCACTTTGGGAGGCCAAGGTGGGCGGATCACGCGGTCTGGAGATTGAGACCTTCCTGGTCAGCATGGCAAAACCCCGTCTCTACTAAAAATACAAAAAATTAGCTGGGCGTGGTGACGGGTGCCTGTAATCCCAGCTACTCCGGAGGCAGAGGCAGGAGAATTGCTTGAACCAGAGAGTCAGAGATTGCGTGAGCTGAGATCGCACCACTGCACTACAGCCTGGCAACAGAGTGAGACTGCGTCTCAAGCAAACAAATAAACAAGTAAAAACATTAGCTGGGCATGGTAGCACGTGCCTGTAGTCCTAGCTACTCAGGAGGCTGAAGTGTAAGGATCACTTGAGCCCAGGAGTTCAAGGTTGCAGTGAGCCGCGATTATGCCATGGCACTCCAAGATGGGTGACAGTGATACCCCAACTCAAAAAAAAAAAAAAAAAAGGAAGTTTTTTAGACATTCACATGCAGATGGAAACAGGCAGTTGGACACACCTGTCTGAAGCTCATGGGTGAGGTCAGAGTTAGAGGGATATATTTGAGAGTCATCAGAGTACAGTTCATTCTTAAAACTATAGGACCAGAAGAAATGATCTAGGGAGGGTCTGCCACAGACAAGAGTAGGCGGCTCAGGACAGAGCCTGGGGCACTCTGCTGTCTGAAAGAGAAGCCAGGAAAGAAAAAGCCAGGCCAGAAAAGGCCAGAAGTCAGACGGCCAGAAGGCAGAAAGCCAGATCAAGCTAGAGAAGAGAGCCAGGAAAGAAAAAGCCAGTGAGGTAAGACGAAAAAACAGCCCTGCATCTGGGAAGTCAAGAGATGAAAGTTTCAAGAATGAAGGAGGAATTAACAGTGTCAAGTGTTTGAAAAAGTAAGGTGAGGACTGAGAATTGACCACTGGATGGAGGGCAGTGGTGACCTTCACAATGACTGATCCAGGGGTATTGCAAGGCTCAAGCACAGGAAAAGATGCTCAACGTCATTAATCATCAGGGAAATGCAAATCAAAACCATAATCAGATACCACTTCCTGCCCATCACGGTGGCTGTTATTAACAAGACAGATAATAACCAGCGTTAGTGAGGACGCAGAGACATTGGAACCCTCAGACTTTGCTGGTGGGAATGTGAAATGGTGCAGTCACTTTGGGAAACAGTCTGGCAGTTCCTCAAAAGATTAAATGTCCAGTCACCATAACATATGACTCAGCAATTCCACTTCTAGGCATAAACTCAAGAGAAATAAAAACTTAGGTTCACATAAAAACTTGTACACATGGCTGGGCGTAGTGGCTCACGCCTGTAATCCCAGTACTTTGGGAGGCCAAGGTGGGTGGATCACTAGTTCAAGAGATTAAGACCATCTGGCCAACTTGGTGAAACCCCATCTCCATTAAAAATACAAAAATTAGCTGGGCGTAGTGGCAGTGCCTGTAGTGCCAGCTACTCAGGAGGCTGAGGCAGGAGAATCGCTTGAACTTCAGAGGCAGAGGTTGCAGTGAGCCGAGATCCGCCACTGCACTCTAGCCTGGTGACAGAGCGAGACTCCATCTCAAAAAAAAAAAAAAAAACTTGTACACAGCATTATTCATAAGAGTGCCAACATGGAAACAACTCAAAGTTCCTTCAACCAATATATAAACAAAATGTGGTATATACGTACAAGGGAGTATTATTCAGATATAAAAAGGAATCAAATTCTGGTACCTGTTACAGCATGGATGAACCTGAAAACCCCGTGCTAAGTGAAAGAAGCCAAGCACAGCCAGGTTCAGTGGCTCAAGCCTGCAATCCCAGCACTTTGGGAGGCCGAGGCAGGTGGATCATGAGGTCAGGAGATTGAGACCATCCTGGTTAACACGGTGAAACCCCGTCTCTACTAAAAACACAAAAAATTAGCCGGGCGTGGTGGCGGGCGCCTGTAGTCCCAGCTACTCAGGAGGCTGAGGCAGGAGAATGGCATGAACCCGGGAAGGCGGAGCTTGCAGTGAGCTGAGATCGCGCCACTGCACTCCAGCCTGAGCGACAGAGCAAGACTACGTCTTAAAAAAAAAAAAAAAAAAGGAGCCAGGCACAAAAGGCCCCATGCTGGATGATTTATATAAAATGTACAGAATAGGCAAATCCATAGAGAAAGACAGTAGACTACCAGTTGCCAGGGGCTGGGGGATAGAGGAGAATGGGGAATGACTGCCTGTGGGCTGGAGTTTCCTTCTGGGGTGATGTTCTAAAATTGTTTGTGGTGAATAGGTTAAAAGCCACTGACAGCCAGGTGCAGTGGCTCACGCCTGTAATCCCGCCACTTGGGAGGCTGAGGCAGGAGACTCGAATGAACCTGGGAGGTAGAGGCTGTGGTGAGCCGAGATCGCGCCACTGCACTCCTGCCTGGGTGACAGAGTAAGACTCTGTCTCAAAAAAAAAAAAAAAAAAAAAGGAATGGGATGTAAGAGTGGAATGTGGAATGGGGTTCAGCTGAGAGATGGTCCAGAATGTGTGTACACTGATGGGAATGAATTATTAGAGGAAAAATTTATGATGCAGGAAAAAGAGGCAAACAGAGGAAAAAAGACCAGGAGCAGCAAGAGATGACGGCATCGAGCCTG